ACCAGAAGCTAGGGGCAGTTTCATAGCATAAACCTAGACACCAACATATAATTATTAGAAATAACATTAAAGCACCAGGAAAAAAATAGAGAGAGTCTCTTACCTTGGTAATTGTCTAAAATCTCCTGAGTACTGCTCATATCTGTAGTTTACAATGTGCCATTGGGAACTGTAATATTTACAAGCCTAAAAAAAAAATGAGAAAGGGACAGTTACATCAAGCAGAAAAAAATGCAGATCACCCTTGTGGATGCACTCCCACATGTGCAAAAAGTTATGCATGTCCAAGAAATATACCTAGTACATACACTGGTCCTGCATCCCAAATGTACCACCAAATGCCTTGTGCTATTATCACTGTTGCACCAATAAGCTGTTGGAGGGAGACCACTTCCAGGCACTCATATTTGCCATTCCCACACACTTCCAACAGCTCTTGGAGACAACAGCTGTAGGTAAGAAAACCCTTGTGCACAGGATCTCCAGGATCTGTGCCTCGGAGAAGAAACATTCAATCATTGTAATCCTCCATGATTAAGTCACACAATGAAATCAGCAGGGCTGAAGTGTGAGTAAATGGGTGAGGAGAAGCTTGTAGGAAAGTACGCAACAGGCCTTTTAGGGTCTTTCCCTCCTGAAAAGCAGCCCTTTCCTTCAATATTGTATGGAGAGTGCTGTTTATTTCCCCAAATGTAATTTCACTACCCTTGCAAGTTCACCAGTCCTCAGATTTTCCATTCTTCCTCCTCCCTGTTTTTTCCTAATATTCCTTATGGTGCATGCAATCCCTGTTCCAGTGGAATCTGTGGCAAGACTCCAATCAAGTTAATGATTGCACCCTCTGTGCAATTAATTATATCTCAACTGTCTCTTTTTTTCCTTAAGCAGAACTACTTGTTTTTCCTCCACACAACTCATATTTTCCAAACCATGATTTGGCTTTGTTGCTCATCTTGGACTCACTCGTTAGCACAGTGAGGTATCTTTCAATATGTGTGTGATTCTCTCTCTGTGTGTACCCATAGTTCATCACATATCCCTCAAGGAGGATCCCTCACTGTCAAGAGGAATGGAACATTAAACGTGTAAACTGTGTTGACAGCAGCAGACAGTTTTGTCTTCACACTAAAAAAAAAAAATCCCAGTTTATTCTATATTATTCTAATATTATGACAAATTTGCTAAGGAATAAAAACTTTACAGGAACTTCATCAAGAAGTAAACAACAAAGAGAATGGACTTGATTAAATCCTGTCTTGAGAATTAGGGTTAAAGCTTTGTGGCAGGATTTAATAATTGTACAGTGCCTTAAGAGCACTACAACATTGTCTAATCAAATTGCAAGTGTGCCTAGTAGCAAGTTGATTTATGCACTGCTGTGTCGGCTGAGCTGCCTTGGCTCTTTGTCCTGTGCTTGTGCCACAACATAGCTGTGGAAATAATTCTTAGATGAGAACTAGGAAATAAAAAATAAAAAGGACCACACATGCTGTTCTTCAAATCAAATCTGTGCTTTTACTCTGATTCAAGTGCCCAGGGCAGGAGTCCTAGAAACATTGAGTTTATTTGATTACATAAAAACATGGATTAAGCTTGGAAGACCTGCTTTCCAGTCCTACCACAGGTGTAGAATGACCTTGAGTTAGGTTGCAATCCAACACTTATCTTAATGGAGCAATGAGGCCATCTCTTCAACAGCAGCCCTGCTGTGCCCACCAGTATTTTGCTAGGGCAATGTTGGAAGCAGTGGCGGAGCTTCATGCTCCAGCACCAGGGGGCGGAGAGCAGGCGGGGGCCCAGCGAGGGAGGGGCAGCCGCAATGGCACCCTGCCAGGAGCGAGCTGCAGGGGGCGGGGTGCTCCCCCCGTACACCTCTTCCTCTGCCAAGGGGTGGAAGGTGTGCAGACAAATTGCTACACTAGCCTTCCCATTGGCTGCCAATGGTGGGAATCCTCCTATCCACATGTTTGGCAAGTGAAACAGGGAGCCCCAAACCAGCAGAGTGATGCTAGTGGAAGCCGGCAGGGCTGAACGGAGGGACACCTCTGCCAAATCCACCCCATTGCCCCCAAAATGGCACAAAATGATTTCAGGGTCAGTCACTCTATCCCAGCTTTGACTGTCTGTTTGCAAAAGTCTAATAACAATAACCTCCAATGTACAATTGCTGCAAGGAGGAACAAAATAAAAGCTGTGAATAACAGTCTGTGTGTGATGAGGATTTATTTTCTCCCAGTCATATCCTGCCTTTCTTCCATCATGGAATGCAAGGCAAATCCCATATTGTTCCCAAGAAGTCACCCATCCAGGTGCGGACCAGCTCAGACCTGCCTAGCTTTTGCAAGGTAGCAGTCCCATGTGCCTGCAGACATAAATTATTATATTGCTAACTAGCATAGATAGATGATAGATAGATAGATAGATAGATAGATAGATAGATAGATAGATGATAGATGATAGATAGATAGATAGATAGATAGATAGATGATAGATAGATAGATAGATAGATAGATAGATAGATAGATAGATAGATGATAGATAGATAGATGATAGAGATAACCAACCCAGCATATCTTTCCCACAATATTAGAGGCAATGGGTTGTGTATCTGGAAAAAGTTAATTAAACCTGATGTCACCAAAGACTTAAATTAAATCTCATTGTTTTAAATGGAAACAACATGCAACCAACTAATGCGAGTTCTGCATGAAATGCTGGATTGGGATATAAGGGGATCAGTCCCTTGTGTGCAGATTAGCAGGTGGACAGGAACATTCCTAGCTCCCCCCCCCCCCATGGTTTAGGTTTTTCTGAAAGAAAGCTGGTAAACATCTGGTCCATGATAAGTGTATATTTGATTAGCAGCAATGTGTACACACTACTATATGAGCCAATGAAAAAGCCCTTTCAGTGAGTTGGATAAGGATCAGAAAAGATCCCACACTTCATTCATTTTGTGGCTGGCACATGGACAAAAACTGCATTCTTAAAGAAAGGGCCAGTTTTCTTCTTTTCCATTGGCATTTCTCTTACTAGTCATTATAAGTGGGGGGAATGCAATAGTTATGCATGCATTGGAAGATCAACAGAGCATTAATTCTCAATAATATGCCATATTCACTCAAGCAATTGTAAATAGATACAGAGTTGAGACATACAACTAACCACAGTTCTTGGACCTACAGTTTAATACAAAAGGGTTGCTTTTCTTCATAGAGATCAATACATCTAATGTAAACAGAACAAAAAGCACATTCAAATAACTGTAAAAGACTAGTTAAAGCTGTAAAGCTAGTTATATGAAGAACTGTATCATTTTTGGACAGCAGTGCACCACAGATGAGCACATGCTAGACTGGGCCCCTGCAAAGTTTAGATGATGTTCCAACAAGCTACTTCCTGCCAGACCACCCATCTATAAATTGGGCAGAGCCACATCTAAAAATGAGGAAAAAATTATATTCCTTAGTAGGATCATGCCAGACTTGGATGACAAGTCTTTAAAAATGTGCTGATGATATGATGTTTTCCCTTGATACCATTATGGCATGTGTCAGCCAGGAAGCTTAGACTGGGGTAAGAATGGGAATCTAGAAGATCCTACAAATGAAAGCTGGAAACATTTTTTGAATATACTCAGGTTAGACTCAGTTCCTCTTTCTTGACAACATGCGAGAGAAAGGGGATGTTACAGTGCCCTATTTGACCCCTGCAATAAGCATGGGAAAAAGACAAAAGAATAATTAATATAATTTAACCAAGATGGGTGTGGCATTTCATGAACTTCCTCTGCACTGCAGAGCAAAGTTTGTGAAAGTGAAAACAAATCAATTATTATTCTAGCCAAGGTCCATGGCAAACCTGCAGCAATTGTACCAATAAAACAAAACAGATCTATAATATGAGCCAACATCCATGATGTAAGAGAGAGGTTACCAGAGACAAGCGGCCAGTTGATGCAAGTTATATCATATAGCATTCTAAATATTGTTCATAAATAGCATGCAAAATAAATATCCATAACATTGAATAGGCATAAATGTAAAACCAGTTATTATATACTATTTTGTATTTCCAGGATTTTTAAAAGTGAATGTATAGGAAAATGTGTCTTCACAGAACCTGAGGTTAAATTCCAGGAAGTCTGTCCTGTGGGTATCATCTGTAAGCAGGGCATACCACTTTGTGGCTCTGTTATATTTGGGGAAACAATGTTTTCAAGATCTTACTAATCATTCCATCAGGCACTTCAACTATATGGGCTGGAATAAAGGAATCACTACATCAGCCTCCCAGAGCCTTCTATAACCTCCCAGAGCCTTCTACTGTATATGTTGTTGGACTAAAACTCCCACCCCACGCCAGTCATTGGTCATGTTGTCTTAGGCTGATGAGAGTTTTGGTCCAAAGTATCTGAGATGCATCAGGTTGGGGAAGGCTGTCCTTCATTTCTGAGTGACCTTTATTACTGCTGATGGTAACAAAGAACATCCTTATTCTGAACCTTAGCAATACTTTCAGCCTCAGCAGAGGAAAGAAAAGCCTGGGTGCTACTAAATACTTTGTGCTGAGGTTTTCATTTACTTGCTATATATAGACTTGGAAATGGAAAGTGGAAGAGTTTAAAGCCCTTATCCTGAGACTGTTCCATTAACCAAATTCCCATTGAAATCATAATTCCATCTCCCTGCATTTGTCATTGTACCGCTGCTTTCACACTTCCTTTGGCTCCATGGAAGGCTTCAGCCTAAGTGACAACTTGCCAGTTCGCAATAATTTCCAGATAGAATATGTCATGTTCCGCTCTGAAAGTCATTGCTTTTCTTATAAAAGCAAGGAAGCCAGTGCTGGCTTTGCTACTGTGTTGAGTATCATGTTTCAACTCCCGCTTCACTTTTTCTGAAGATCACAACTGGAAACAGGATACTTTCCCAAATGAAATACTTGCTAAGTTAGGACAACAGCTACTCCACACTGTGTGGAGTAGTGATTCATGTGGAGGAGCTATAGCTCACTGGTAGAGCATCTGCTTTCCATTCAGAAGGTCTCAAGTTCAACCCCTGATATCTCCAGCTAGGGATGGGAATGTTCCCTGTCTGAAATACTGGAGAGGCAGGTACGATACAGTGTAGACTGTATTGGGCTAAATCCCATCAAGATGCTATTATTCATGCCTTCTTGAAAGGCCATAACATTGTTTAATCTTTAATTAAAATAAAATCCACAGCAACAAGGGTACCTATGTAAGGTCAAGGAGATAAAACAAATGTTAATTTACCTCTTTAACAAACAAATGCTCTGCTTTTTGCTCTGTATCTTCAGAAACTGATGAGTACAGTGTTCTTATTTCCCAGGGAACTGTGGCTATCTGCAATTAAACAAAAGAGATTCAAAATGTTTCAGCATTCTCAATTTAGTCTAATAGGGAAGTGGAACAGGGATCTGCTATATAGAGATGGCTAACCTGGTTCTGAGACAAGTGATACAGCAATGGAGTCCTTTGCTTCCCCAACATCATAGCATTTGAGCTAGAGAATAAGACTTTCCAGTGGATAGCTCAGTCAGTAGAGCATGAGACTCTTAATCTCAGGGTTGTAGGTTTTAGCCCCACATTGGGGGAAAGATATCTGCATTGTAGAGGTTGGACTTAGATGACCCTCATGGTCCCTTCCAACTCTACAAGTCTATGAAACTGTTAACAGAACAATTTGCTTCATCAGCTCAACATGAATTGTATCGGAGGGATGTTGATATCTCTGAAAGCATTTGTTACTTTCTGCATCCTGCTGAAAATGAATTTTCAATGAAATTGCTAAATATATTCCTTCTCACATATATCTCAATATCTAATAATGTTCTTTCACACAGCACTACCTGTTTATTGGCATAAACAGGGAACATTTTGTGAAACATCACAATTTCACAGCATGATTGTGGGGATTAAGGAGCGGAACTGGAAAGTATTTTGCAAGGTAATGTGTTCTATATAAATTATTAGTATTTATGCAGAACATGTCACCAGGCAAAATGCTTTGCAATCCCCATTAATCAAGTAATCCCCATAATCATGTTGTGAAATTGATTGTTATTATATTATTCAGCGTGATGGAGTACCTGTAGCGATCAGAGATGTGCTTTTGCATTTAACCCATTGGACTTGGAGATGAAAAATGCCATCTCTGATTAAAGGAAGCTGGAAGGAAAAGTGACAGCTCTACACAGCTTAGAGCAGGGATGGCCAATGTGTCATTCTCCAGATGTTGTTGGACTCCAGCTCCCATCATCCCTGGTTTATGAGCATGGCTCTAGCCCTTTCCCTGAAGAAAGGGAAACTCAAACAACAGAAGGCTTAAACCAGAGTCACTCTCTTTGAAGATTGACTGTAGTCAGGAACCAACTGCAAAGATTCTTTGGGGCAAGTTTGGGCTTGCACATTGTGGGAGATGGGAAGAATCAGGGAGAAGTTGCCTTAAATCCCCAGTTCCTCTCTGAAATTCATTCTTGTATATTTCATGCCATGCGGATGTGGCATGAATGTGGATGGGAGGAGGAAGTAGTAACCACCAGAGAGACAAGGGGGCCAGGTGCCAAACATCTGGCAAGTTGGCCACATTGCTGTGAAAATTGTATAAACAAGTGTTGTGGCTCCATTTATCAGGTTGGAGACAGAAATTATTCAGCTGTTTTGCTCAAATAACCCACTAAAATTCATGTTTGAAATGTATGGGCAGTTTGTGGATTAAAAGCCATTGTTCTAATACGCACCACATTCTCCTAAATGAACAGATAATAACTTAAAAGGAATTCAAGACTCAAAATTTAGAAAGAACTTGGGTATGAAGAATCCTGTGCTCCTCTCAGTATTGTTTCAAGTTGCAATGAACTTCCCTTCTGAGAATTAGGCGTGCTCCGACCACTAGCTTCAAACTCTGCCACAAAAGTGCTTCCTGTTCAGTAGAGTAATTGTGTTCCTAAACTGCTGCAGTTTGTATTAGTCTGAAATGAGTTGATTTTAGCATCTGACAAGGGCAGCAAATGGTCTGGGGTTGTAACAGCTCACATTTTTAAATGGAAACATTCTCTCACCATAGGTTGTAAAAATGAAAACACAGCTCTAGAGAAAGAAACAGATCTGCACAGATCTTCATTTGGGGGAGCAGCCCAATACTCACAGCATGACCAGGGGATGTAACCCCCTGAAAGCAGTTGCTGAGCAACCTAGTCAATGCTCTCTGAGAAGCTCTTGCCAGGTCCCCTCTCCAATTAGCAACGGGATACAATGATACTTTGCAGTCTTATAGCATGCCATCTCTATTTTTTGTGATTCAGAATTACTACCCTTGCTAAACATGGAGGATAAACAGAAATTCTCATGAGTTAGAGAAGTTTACTATGGCAAAGTAAGATTGCACCTCAACTGGAAACTGGCTGAGCCTCCCTAGAGAGATGTATCTCATGTTCGGATCTCTTGATCAAAAGATGAGGAGGCTGAAACTCATTGCCTGCTATTATTAAAATGCACCACTTTCAATGTCTTCTGGTACAGAAAGAAGCAAAAGCCTATACCATTCATGATAACATTTCAGCACCCAAATCAAAATATTTAATGAACTAATTTGCAAAATGGCTTGAATGAAACGCATGGGATGGGATCTTGACCTTGAGTTGGATTGACCTACCACAGATGGAAATGCTCTTTCCTTTCCCTCCACAGGCTTTTGATTACCTGGTTAGGTGGGGGAGGTATGTGTGTGTGTGTGTGTGTGTGTGTGTGTGTGTGTTATGTGTGTGTGTGTGTGTGTGTGTATGTATATATATATCCCAAAATTTACTTGAGGGGAAATTGAAGCAAACCTGCCAGAGAGAGAGGATCCATCTCAAAAAGCTGACAGTTCATTCTAAGAGAAGTGTTGAGATTGTTGGACCCTGTACCCTTCTAGCAAGGCTTTGAGAAAAGAATCCCCTTCTTTCACATTTGGTATCACAGTAGTGGGAAAGAACCCACAACTTTAACACCGGTGCTAAAGTTTTCTAACACTAATTTCTCAAGTGCAATACCTTTCAGTAGGCAGTGAATGAGTGAGCTTATGAGATGTTTTATTTTCCTAGGCTAAGTACTGCGGGAACAAATAATCTTCTAGTTTGTCCTGAATTTAAATGCTTCCATTTCAAGATCTGTAAGTCATTATGCTACAAAAATGAAAACTAGTGAACCGAGCTGAAACTTTGGTTGTTCCTGGATGTGGTGGAGCAGAAGGAGAAGAATTATTTCTCATTAAGTACTATGGATTACTGGGCTATGGCAATAAGTACAGGCAAAATGTAATCTGGGTGGATAAACACCACACCATAGGAAGAGCGGTTATACCCAGTGCTCAACCACGCTTGCCACTGTGTGTGTGGCACTTTCCTCTTGTGACCATGACGAACTACTGGTCTTCCATCCAACTCTGAAGCTGTGGAGGTGGACAGAGATCATCCTGGCAAATGTGCCAAAGCTGGCTGGAAGGCTGAGGATTGTTTGACAGTGATGTGGGCCAAGGCTCCTGGAGGGTCTAACCAGCAGGGAAGTCTGGTGGGGGCAGTTCTACACCAGTGCTTAAAATTACTCTTCCAGAGGCGATCCCAATGAGCTACGCTCCTCAGTATCCCCTTCCCTTGGGGAAGCCCTGGGGGAGAGTCTTGGACATTGATGTGTGAAAGTGTTCAAGCGGCAACACCCAACTTACCAGGGAAGTTGCTGTGAGAGATGAAGGGTGCATTTGGTAACTGCATTTGACTTTAAAGCTAAAGAACAGGTTTTTGCTAGGAAAGGAGCTGGACAAGGGGAAAACTGCTTGGACCCATGCCTAGAAATCACAAGTCAAGTGGAAAAATACTCAACCCTATGCTTTCTAGAAACAGGACAAGCAGAACCATGGACCTGCCCTAATATCCATGTATATATCTCATTGGGTTTAAAAGTTTTCTGATGTAGAGCTACATTGCTCTCTTCTGCAATAAGAACTGGTCCAGCTTAACCAGGAGCTCTAGAGGGGAAATGGCGTTGGGTGAGCTCTGGCTTCATTTGTTGCTTACCGAAAAATCATCATCTGGGAACAAGATGAGTTCTTTGAGACCGTCGTTTTCAACAGTCTTCTCAATCTCCCCAATGACAGTTTCATAATCCAAAGGTTCTAGAAGTTTGGGTTTCTCCTGCTGATGAAACAGAAACAAGACGCATGAACAACATTAAGCTGAGCTGACATAGAATCATAGAGTTGGAAGAGACCACAAGGGCCATCAAGTCCAACTCCCTGCCAAGCAGGAAACACCATCAGAGCACTCCTGACATCTTCTCTGGAGCCTCAATATATAAACAATATATGCACAATATGAGATCTGCTGCTTTCATGCACAGCAAGATGTGCTGAGAAAAAGCACACACCGAGACAAAAGCATCATCGGCTGGTCAAAATGTTCATTATTAGCCTGATTAATCCCTGATAGTTAGCTTGCTCAAGGAGGGGTGGTGGATAATTATAGCATGTGGAAATAATATCAAATCATCCTACACATCCTGCACACATCATCAACACATTTAGCTCAGGAACCTGTCCTTTAAAATAAAAATATACATAAGTAATGCCTTATCACAGCTCATGGGGCAATATTCTCAGTAAATTTGCTGCAGAACAGCCTGTTGTAATTTCAAATGTTTCCCTGAGCTGCACACTTACTCCCTCCTCCCCCCCCCGCCACATTACTCTTTTATGCTTGGACACATTTTAAATTCATGTGGCTTACTAGAAATAGAAATAAAAAGTACTATTGCTCTATTTAACTTGGCATTTATCCTGATCTCTTTGTCAGGATAAAGTATTTTTCAGTCAGCCCCATTCCATTGCCAGTCAGAAGCTGGACTATATCTTCATAAGCCATCGAGAAAGCATTGTTATTGCCGAAGTGCAATATTAGCCTTTAAAAAAAAAGTGCTCAGGAGAAGTAGTCAAATAAAAGGTAAATCTTCATGTAATAATAAAATGTGTGTAGGGGAGGGGTTATTCTTGTTTTTATTATGTATTTTGTCTTTTATATCTTGTATTTTTATGTTGTGAACTGCTCTGAGATCTACCGATAAAGGGCAGTATACAAAGTAATAAATAATAATAATAATAATAATAATAATAATAATAATTCATGTGCCACACACCCACGCCCACACCAGCTGGAGAGCCCACTGAGTAGGCAAATGAGTTTGAAATGTAAGATTATGGCTACAATCCTAACTCTCTTTCACCTGGAAGGAAAACCCGTTGAATTCGGCAGAGTTTACTTTTGAGTATACATAGCCAGGATTTTGCTGTCCATGTCAGCTGACTGATGGTGATCATGCCCATTGCTATGTTGCATTAGGGATGGCTGGGCACATGAATGCAGAAGATCCCCACACCCTCTCCAGCTTGGGCTTGACTGTTTGGTGGCAAACCTTTGGATTTGAAAAGGAGAACAAGGGATTGTTATGACCTGTTGAAGGGGCACACAAATAGGTCAGCAACTAAGGCCTTGGTTCTGAACACAGTTGGACTGAAGGAAAGGCATGGGGGCCTGGTAACCATACAGCTTGGTTTAGCTACCTAGGC